TTGTCATTTTTATAAAAGTGTGTGTGTGTGTGGGGGGGGAGGGGGGGATTTGAGAAATTGGTTAGGTTTAATAACTAATAAAAATATTGTTATTTAATATTATTAACAATAATATTAAGGGTTTAGGTCATTTTTGGTCACTTAACTTTTGGTTTTGTGCTCATTTGGTCACTTAACTCTTTTTAAGTTTTAAAAAGTCATCAAACTTTTGACTTTGTGCTCATTTAGTCACTTAACTTTTGGTTTGGTCACATTTAGTCACTTAACTTTTAGATTTGTGCTCATTTAGTCACCTAACTTTTAAAATTGTGCTCATTTAGTCACTAAACTTTTGAAAAAATTTAAAAGTTTAGTGACTAAATGAGCACAATTTTAAAAGTTAGGTGACTAAATGTGACCAAACCAAAAGTTAAGTGACTAAATGAGTACAAAACCAAAAGTTTGATGACATTTTAAAACTTAAAAAGAGTTAAGTGACCAAATGAGTACAAAACCAAAAGTTAAGTGACCAAAAATGACCTAAACCCTAATATTAACACCTTATGATTAAATTGTTTTTCTCAAATTCGTTGTATAAAAAGTGAGTGTTAAACCGTGATAACTTTTGTTTTCTTGATGTATGACCTTTTTCCAGAACAACCACCGGAGTATCAATTAAATACTAGGTCATATGATGTTTAAAATTTATTTATGGATTTGTGAACATGTAAACCTCGTGTTATGAACATTACCCAATTCACGGTAATATTTGTGTGTTTTTATCGAATTACTACATTACCGTAGTTTATTGATCGCAATACAAGCGGTTATTCGATAATGGATTCAAAATAGCGTACGTAGGATTATAATATTCAATAATACATTAGGGATGTTACGAAAATCACATTTTGCCTTTTTGACCCAATATATGCACAATTGACCTTTGTTGAACAAAATTTGACGGATGTCACATCTACAAACCTATCTCCCTTCATTACCCTATTATTTTGGTAACTGTCATGTCGTTATTACGATTATTTATAAAATGGGGAGTTAACACAGGAAACCTCTCACTTTCCTCTCTGTAATTTTTGTCCCCGACTTCGTATCAATTTCTTTTCTCTTAATCTTTATGAACTATGGCTATGGCGAAAGATAGTAGAAGTATTCATAACACTTTGTCTTCCCTTTTCCCCAAGAATTTAGACGACATTGTCAAAATCTACCGAATTGATTCTCGGTTTAGACCCTAACTTCCTTCCGAATCAGAATCAATTACCAATCCTCCTTTGGGTTTTGTGGGGGTGTATACCCAATTCTTTAAAGCCGGTTTGAGATTACCTGCTTTCGACTTTTTGAGGGTAATTCTCGATTAGTATAGCCTTTACGTTGCCTAAATCACTCCCAATGGTTTACGTAAAATCATTGCTTCGTCATGCTTTGTAAGGCCCTAGACGTTGTTCCCAGTCTTCAACTGTTTTTTTTTTCATTTCTACATTACGATGGTTACCAACGATTGGGTCTCATTCTTTGTTCGTCATGGCCTAATTGACATCTACGACGAACTGCCCTCTTCCATTAAAAATGGAAACAAGAAATTTTCTTCGGTGATGCTGTTACCCAATTTCCTTAGGCTTTTCCCAACCTTCTTTTAATCCCCTTCACGATTGTTAGTATATCCCACATTGGTGCGACATGGTAATATAATTGGCTATATATGTTGGAGTTCCCTTTCTCTCCACAAGGGCTCTTTTGGAGAGACAATCTTGGGCTCCACATATATTTACATGGTATCAAAATTGGCGTTCCACACCCTCGTGGCTTAGCACATCCCTGTTTATCCTCATCGAGCCTCCGACTCTTAGGGGGAGTGTTAGTGTATCCCACATCAGTGCGACATGGTAATATAAGTGGCTATATATATATTGGAGTTCCCCTTCTCTCCACAAGGGCTCTTTTGGAGAGGCAATTTTGGGCCTCGTATTTTTTAGCTGCCACGACGTGGTTGTGTATTGGCAACGACGTGGCGATGTCCCAGGCTCAAACCCTAATTTTCAGAGCTTAAGGCCCTATTTTAAGGGATGTGATGACTAAGGTTCATCCACCCTCAACCTCCATTACCTCTAAGAGCCTTGGAGCAAACCCTAATCCACCCTCATCCATATTTGAGCTCCATTTGGTGTTTTTGCTCCTTTGAAGGAAGAAAGAAGGAGCTGCAGAGCTAGATCGAAACAAGCAAGCTTCATCACAACCTTTTGTGAATCTCCTGGACCCTTGTGAGTGTCCATGTTCCTTTCCTTATGGTTATAGTTTATTAGATCTTGCCTTTTATGGCATTTTAAGTCCCTTTTTATGATATTGGTTGGAGTTTAGGGATGAACTCCAGATAAAGCTTGCAACTTTATCAAACTTGAATGTCCCTTGAGTGTTATACCTTTCGGATCTAGAATTTTGAGAGTGTTTTGAAGCCATACATGATAACTAGGTCACTTTTCTTTCCTTTTTTGACCTAGTTTTGAGGGAGACATGCATTGTACATAAAGTGATGATTTTTATGACCCTTTGTGAAGCAAAGATACATTATGGAATGTTTGAGCAAATAACTTTACATATTTAGAGCTTAATCAATTAAGCTGTCTTCATATAGAAACCACAATAAGCTGTCTTCATATAGAAACCACAATGTGGTATGATGCTTGCTAGGGGTGAGCAGCGGAACAGGGTACCCATTTCCGGAACCGAAACCGCATCGGAACCGCCGGTTCTAGTTCCTAAAATATTGAAACCGTCTTAAACGATTCCAGTTCCGATTCTCAATTTTTCGGAATCGATACCCCCGGGTACTCACCAGAACTGTATATATATATATATATATATATATATATATATACTATATATATATATATATATAGGTAGGTTCAAATGTTTCTCACATCTATTGTGTGCTAGAATGCACCAATAGGAATTTAGTATTAATTATATGTATATTAAATGCTATCCATACTTATAACTCATTTTTATGAAAACTAATTAAATTCGTCATTAATGTCAACAATAATATTCTTACAGAATGAATTCATATCTAAAAGAATGAGAGTGTATTCCAGCAGAATGAGAGTGTATTCTAGTAGAATACACTCTCGTTCTTCATATTCCATGCAAATTTATTGTATTTTAAGTGAGTGAGTCCTGAAATAAAATACGAACTCATATATAAAAACCTAGATGCGAATTAATTATGAAAGAATGTTATTGCTGACATTAATGACAAATTTAATTAGTTTCCATAAAAAGAGAATTATAATTATGGATATCATTTAATATACATATAATTATGGAATCATTTAATATCTATATTTATTTAATTAAATAATATTTAATTTATTAATTCCTATGGTGCATTGTAGCATACAATAAATGTAAGAAACAAAATAATCTAGCCATATATATTATATATATATATATAGATATAATATATATATATATATATATATATATATATATATATATATATATAAAACTAAGTCATATTTCAAGAAATTAACTAATATTTTTAAGTCGTTTTTCCTTGATTTTTTTTGTTCCTCAAACACTTGTGCAAATAACTATTTTTTGAACGGATTTATAATGATAACTTATTCCAAAACTAACAAATGTGATATAATTTCTGTTACTTTAACACCAAGTGTAGTGATGCCATGGAAAAATAATGCATCTATATTTTTTTTTATTTATTTTCAAACTTAACTAGAATAATTTCTATTGACAGATTGCGTATAGATTATTTTCATGGAGAATGATGATGGAGAGTAACTAAATTCCTTAATTTTTTTAAAGTGGGTGCCCGGAACTGGAACCAGTGGTTCCGGTTCTAAAATATTGAGAAGCGATACAGTCGGTTGCGGTTGCGGTTGCGGTTCCGACATCTTAGGAACCGCCGGTTCTGGTTAAGGTTCCGGTTCCGGTTCCGTCAAATTTAACCGGGTACCTGCTTATGCTCACCCCTAATGCTCGTCATGACGTAGTAAAGGAGGGTATCACGTCTGTTTTGTTGGTTTGCTGCCATGACATGGTGACATGTTTGTCATAACGTGGTGGCGGAGTTGGTCGCGACTGTGTTGGATAGCCACGACGCAGCCAGTGGTTGGCCAAAACGTGGTAACCTTTTTTAGCTGACATTTGGTCTAATTGGTAGTTTTGTTAGTACACTAAGGGGTTGACCTTATATGGTTCTTTAGGTGGTGTGTAGCGCCAACCTTTCGACTGTACGGGTTGTAGTCTATTCTTCTCACTACACTGTGTATGATGCTAGACTGTCTTTGTAATTCTTGCATGTATGTTGGGTGGGGCCTGTTATATATGTTGGACGGGGCCCGTATTGGTATGTGATATTTTGGGGAACTCACTAAAGTGTGTGCTTACGGTTTCATGTTTAAACGTTTCAGGTACTTATGGTTCTAAAGGGAATGACTCGACTTGATCGCACTGCATTCACTTGAGTTTTATTTCAACATTATTAGTTTATGATTTTACTCTGATGTTTGAGAACACTTTGCACTCTGATTGTCTTTTGAACAAATGATTGAAGGTTTTGATGGTTGAAAAATAAAATTTTTATTTAGTATTTTCGAGACGTTACAAAGATACCCAATACCCACAAACTTGATGATTATTTACTAATTGTATACTTGTTGGGATGAGCACGACTCTTTGGGATATAGTTTTGTGATGGTGCATGTGACTTCATTGGTCTATTGCACACAAAACGAATAAGAATCAAATAAATTAGAAATTAAACACATGTTAAAGTTAGGAGATAAAATGCGACTTCATTGGTCTGTTGTACAAAAAAAAAAAGGGAATGAGAAATTGAGAATCTAATAAATTAGAACGTGATAGTTTGAATCAAATAAATTAGAAGATGATAGTTTGTTGTTATTTATGACATTAATTCTAAAAGATAGGGTGTAGACTAGGAGAATAAAACATTACGTGATTCCAACCATCGATTACACAATCCAATGGCTGACAAGGCAAGTTGTGAAACGAAGCTTGACTGTATCCATTTTCATTTTTCAGTTCGACTTTTATTTATTTAATATTTAATTTAATTTAAGATTAAGATTAAGTTTAAGATTAAGATGCTTTGTTAATTGTTAATTTAATTGTTTGGGGGCTATAACTTAAGTTATAAGCGAGGGAGCTCTCTCTGTTTTTTTGGGCTTAGCCTTTTTCCGGTGTTCGACTTCGACCCACCCACACATCCACTGTTCCCAACCCCCTCGATTCCCCTTCGCGACACTTCTCTCCACCACACACGCACACGGACACCCAAACCGATACAAACACCACCGCCTTTCGCCTTCTTCGCATCGTCCTTGCTATCGCTTTCCAAGATCGCAGATCGGAGTTGTAGTTGTAGATCGGAATTACCCTATCTATTTATCTACGGTAAGCGTTTTCTCTCCGTACGTATGTTCGATTTTCTGGTTTTGTTTATAAATTTTGTTATTGTGTGCTACTTCTGGTTAATTTACAGTTGAAATTTAGGGTTTCGAAGCGCACGAAGGTCTGATAATGTTTATCGAGGAAGTATTTTGCTTTTCTCTTTTTTTTTTTTCGGTTTTTTAACGCAACATATGTCCTTGATGCGTGCATCGAAGTTCATATGTGAAAGGATATATATATATATATATATATATATATATATATATATATATATATATATATATATATATATTGCTACACTACCCTACGTGCCGATGTAGGATGCCCTTTTTCCTTTTGATCCAATATAGGACGAATATAGCACGAGGTGTTATATAAGTCTGAAGAGTATATAAAAAGTATGGTTTACTATTAGTATGTTGAAATTAACGACATATAAGTCTTTACTATTAACTTATTGGAACTAATGACATGGAAGCAGCTTTGTTGTGTATTTTTGAATGTGCTCGTACCCTGTAAGGACTAGTGGTAGGGAGGTTTCTTGAGAAGTCGATAGTGTGAGATGTACACTTTACTCACTGCTGAGTGTATTATAGAAAGTGATTGTTTTCTCTTTGATTGTGTGAAACAATTGCGTAGGTGATACGAGACTACTTGAGATGCTTTTGGTTATCTTGAATGTGATGATACTGTTTAAGTTGAATCCTTGCTCTTTCAAATCTTGTTGTGCGGAGTTCATTTTGTTTAAAGCATCATTCTTTTTTATGGGCTTTAGTTGGTAAATGACTAGGTATTGGAGGTTGTTGATGCTGTAATCTCATATAATATCACTTGTTGTATGGCTGAATTCAAGTCAAGTAGACAATACTCAATAGTTCTTTATAGTAAGCAAAGTAATATTTTGATTTCATCTGTAGGTCTTCCAGATACTTCTTGGATGACCTTGGGACTGCATTTGAACAATGACATCGAGTATGTTGGCTGGAGAGCGGAGGTATAATTCCTTCATTTATCCCTTTTCTTTCTGTTTTGCTTTTAATTAAAACAACGGGTATTAGTTTTGTAATGTTATTTACTTCCCATTTTCCTCTTTTTGCTTTTACATTCCTGAACAGCATGAAATCAATGTACTTAATCTTCTATTGTTTTCTGTTTTAGGTGGGCCTCTGCAAGAAGAGGTGGCATGATTGTTTTGGGGAAAGTTGCTGTTCCTAAACCTCTGAATTTACCTAGCCAAAAGTACGCTTTTACTGCTGAATAGTCAACTATCTTTGAATCTATGTAATAAATAATAATAACCTAATGTTTTTTCTTGCTGTTTCAAGGTTAGAGAATCATGGTCTGGATCCAAATGTTGAGATTGTTCCCAAGTGAGTACTGCTTTATAATAATTCTATACTCTTGTTAATTGTTATAATATTCTCTATGCCACTTTTACCCTTAAAGTTACTTACATTGCTGTTGTTTTCTCTAACAGGGGTAGCCTTAGCTGGGGAAGTCGTCCATCTTCTTCAACCTCAAATCCTTGGGGTGCATCAGCAGTATCACCAAATTCTGATGGTAACACCGTTTCGCCACGTCATCCCACTGGCCGCCCATCATCTGGCGGGGGCCTCAGTCGACCATCGACAGCTGGCAGTGAAAGAACCCATGATCCTTCTGCTAACACATGGGGTCCAAATTCCAGGCCATCATCTGCTTCAGGGGGTATTAACGTCAAACCAGTCGACACTAACAACCTCACGCCCACTCAGTGCAGAGACAAGACCTGGTAGCTCACATTTATCCCGTTTTGCTGAACCCACATTTGATAATTCCATGGCGTGGGGCCCTAATGTTACTTCAGATAAGCTTGTAAGTTCTTCTTCACCATAACAGAGATGCTCATGTGTCGATTGTTAACAAAAAGGAATCTTTTAATCAGTCTTTGACTCTTCTTTTTTCTGCAGTCAATACCCTCCAAGGGTAATGATTTTTCTCTGAGTTCCGGGGACTTTCCAACTTTGGGTTCAGAAAAAGATGCAAAGAGTAGCGAACCACATGGTAATTTTAATTGGTTATATTACAAACCATTTTAGCAATAATTTCATCAGTCATCTAATAAAGATTGTTTCTGCATTTTATGTTGTTGTTTTTTGCATTTGTGTCAGATCAAGATCACGAATCTCATGTTCGTCCTGGCTCAGCCTCTGGCAGAACTGCACCTTTCAAAGAGAGAAACGAAATGTCTCAGCATGGTTTGTGTTTTTTTTTTTTTCAGCCTTCATTTTTCTATTATTCGTTGAATCTTTTTTGGCAATTTGCAGATGATTGTGTATTACATTACTTGATACTAGTGTTTTCTTGACTGCAGATACCAAGAGTGGAAGTGTTGAAACTTGGACAAGAGAAGGTCCACCACATGTTGAAGAACACTGGCAAGGGGAACCACACCAATATCTCAACCCTAATGCCCCCCCTCAACATTTTGATGCATGGCGTGGCCCACCAATGAATGCACCTGGTGTTTGGTACAGAGGACCACCACCACCACCCGGAGGTCCACCATACCCCCCTGTTCCTCATGGCGGCTACCCAATGGAACCTTTCCCTTACTACCGCCCTCAGATGCCGCCTCCTTTAGCAAATTCACAACAGGGTCCTCCACCAGGGCCCGGTCCAAGAGGTCATCATCCAAGAAATGGAGATTTCTATAGACCCCAGATGCCTGATGCTTTTATACGCCCTGGTATGCCTATTAGGCCTGGGTTTTACCCTGGTCCTGTGCCTTACGAAGGGTATTTTGGTCCACCAATGGGTTATAATCACAATCCCAATGACCGTGATAACCCGTTTATGGGAATGCCACCTGGACCGCCTGTTTACAACATGTGTCCACCTCAAAACCCTTCGGAGCTTGGTGATCCCCATTTTAGAGGCGGCGTGCGTGGGCCCGGAAACATGTATGTTCCGGAACAATTGGATTCTGTTCCTCCACATGAAGAGCCTCGTGGGCCATACAAAGTTCTTAGGAAACGTGAAAACGAAAGGAATGCTGATGTGGACGAGAGTAGTTGGGAGAATCAGACTACAACAAACTCATTGGCTTTAGAAAAGAATGAGCAGCCACAGCCAAGACCATCATTCCACAAAAGTGACACCAGAAGGAATGAAGATATGCCTTCTAGAAGAAACACACTTGTTGAGAATAATCCTCTTCCTTCCAGGATGTTAGGAAGCCAAAATTACCCTTCTAATTCTAAAGCATCCAGTGAGAGTTGGGGTAAAAGATCAGAGCCTGTTTCAGAAGTGGCTCAGGATGTTTCAGCTAACCCTAAAGATGCAAGCTTGATACAAAAGATTGAAGGTTTGAATGCAAAAGTACGGGGGGCTTCTGATGTTGCATCTGGTAATTTAAAAGAGGAGCAAAAGAATAGGTTAGTTAATAACCCAAACCCCAAGGACAATTCTACCCTTACATTTGGTACCATTTCCAACACTGAAGATCTTGCCCCTCCTCATGACATCAATCTTTCTAAAGATAATACCCCTAAATCTACCACAGCAAGCGCATCAGTAGTCTCAAGGTTTATGATATGGATTTTTTGATGTTTGATTGTATACATTTTATATAACAATTTTGTTTTAACTAACTTTTATGTATAATATTATATTCAGGCAACCGCATCATGGAGTGCGAAAAGGAAGACCAGTTAATCAAGATAATGATGGGTGGCGAAAGAAATCTCCAATTCCAAGTTCTGAGAATGTTGTTCATGTTTCTGCAGAGAACCCTGAAACTAAGAACACAGGCGATTCTCTACTCCAATGGTTGACCCTGCCGATGGTCAAGCACAGGTAAGCAGTGCTGAAGAACACCAATTCATCATCATTTTTATGTGGATGTGGCTAACCATCTATATATATCTATATATGCATGCTTAATCAGCGAGCTAGGATGAGGGAGTTGGCTAAACAGCGTGCAATTCAAT